TGCGTGTACACTTGATCCGCAATATATGTCCTGAATAAACGTGCTCCGTGCTGTACGTCTGTTTCCCTCATAGCTGGGCTATAGCTTAGCTGGTTCTGGGAGTCTAGCTAGATGTTTGAGAATCTGCCATAGAGATTTCTGGGTCGGTCAGGCTTTACTAAGGTAGCAATCCGCTACAAACATCTATGTGAAAAGTATATTAGTCAAGACCAATGGACCACAAAGACATTCAATTTTCATCATATCATTACCATATTATCTCCTGTTTAACAGAGTTATTTGTTTAAAATTTTATGAATTATTCTTTGTGAAAGTCATTGAGAAGAAAAGTCAATTTTTGATTGTGCTGTAGTTAGTTAAAAGTACATTGTTTTAGAAGGCAAACGTCGAATTTTCCAACTGTATATTCACCCTGTTCTACATCGAGTTTGACTTTTGAATGAATCTTTCATAGCCCTATAGCCCGCATTTCTTCACTACAGATTTGAGAGTACTGAATTGTCGGATCATGTACTAGCAGCCTATTTGATCATCCCAACAATACTCGATAAATGTCATGATTCTTACAAGAAGAGTAATGTTGAAATGAATTAATCCTACCTTTATTGCACCATTAAGCGATAAGATTTGAGTTGTGAAGTAGTTGTTGTTGATCTATCTTTCTAATACGCACAATGTAACTCCTCACTTCATAGGGTATTTAATGCTACTATTTTTTAATGAGTACAACTTTCAATACAATACAATACAATTTCCTGTAAACTAAAATTTATCTGGATGCTTGTAGACATCGATTAAAAGAAATTGTTATAGTCCTGTTCACACAATTAAATGAGTTAAATTCTAAGTGGTTAGTTTAATGGAATTCTTATTTAATGTAAAAGTTGTGAAACATTTCTTAATTTCTACTTAACTATATTCGAAAAAACACCCCACACAACTACACAAACCGTGCAAAATCCGAAATTCGAACCTCTTTGTTTACTTGCACATCTTTTGTGTCAAATTAAACTAATTAGTCATTCATCTGCGTATTGAGCTCGAAGTAAACTATGCATGGCATTTAATTGTTTTGGTAAGTTTGATTAATCTCCTATTTACTAGAAATTGATCGTTTTAAGCGTTTGAGTAGTTAGGATGTAAGTTATGCCATTTGAAATTTTAGCCGCTTAGCTACCTTCTACAGTAGGGGTGTGCGATAGACTTACCTCCACGTGGTGCACCCTGGGCAAAGTATACTCATATGACAAAAAGTCTGTTAACCGGGAGTTGACTTCGGTCTTCAAACTACCATCACCCCACTGCATGTCATATTCGACTGCTTCCACAGTACTCACCTCACCTCTTTTCTACCTTAGTGCCTGTCTCTTTTACATCTTTGAATCTCTCTTCTAGTCCCCCCTTTCGAATTTTTCTCACTTTGAAGTTCCTCGCCTCTGTGAAGTCCGAAGTCAGCTAAAGGGCTAATGATAATTATCAAAACGCCTGCTGATTGATATAAATAAACCTTCTACAGTAGTATAAGATATAGTACCGATGCGTCGAACTGAAAAGCAAATAACTGAAAAGGAGAATACCTCTAAGAAATGTTTTGAAGATAGCGCCTGGAAGAAGGCCTTGAGCTGGAATCGTACACGTGCTTCATGTGTTTCAATTGCTGTCATTGACTTGGCATAACAGTTCTTTATATTGGCACTTAAGCCAATGCCATTCTGGGCAGCTAGTGCATATAGGCGATGCCTCTCCCACTTATTTTTCTCAGAATAAAAAGTTTCGAAATTATCGAAAAATGGATTTTTAAGCAAAAAATGTTAATTTAAAAAGAAGTAAAGCTGAAAACACATAAATAAGCATTTTTCCTTGTTTGTAGAGAATTTTTACTTGATATCTTGTTTTTTGTAACGTTTTTGCTAAAGGTGGAGATATTGGTTGGTGGTTGGTGAAGAGGCCTCTGTGCCCACGACTTTACTTGCTCTTTACGAGACAAGTAGCACGGCTGCACCTTCGAGCCTGCCTGAATGCACAGTAGATTTCTTTGTTGTGCCATGATAGTGCTGTTCACTCCACAAAACGTGTAATCATTAAATAATAGGCAGAAGTTAAAATCGATAGGAAACAGCTTCGAAATGCATAGGAGTGTCTTTAGTGAAGCAAGATCTCGAGAGAAGTTATTGGTGTTTCATGATGATGCAGAGTGTCCATGGTCCAATCGTCCACTGAGTATTACGGTTAAGGGTCGTTCGTAATCTCAACACCGTGGTAACAATGGTCGACGTCACACGGCACATAGTTATGGGGATGACTTCGTAGATGTCACCGCTTTGGAGACACCCCCAAATAACTCCTCTGAAATGGCGAAGTCACGAACCTTGATCGCTTCTGCGGATAATGTCTGAGCTGCTGCTGACGGCTGTGATGGTAATGCCTCATCGGGCCAGTATATGCAGCAGTCGCGTTCGATTCGCCATTGTTCCAGCAGCCTCAGCAACACCATCATCTCTCTCTCTCTTTTGCAGCTGCCGCAAACCCGGAGATGATGACACAGCCACAATAAAGGAAACAGATGCATCGCACGGAACACGTTTACTCAGGAAGTAACCTGTTGATAAAGTACACACGCGGGAAGCTTAGTCATAATCAGCATGGCGAATTAGTTTAAACAAATGGAGGCTTCTGATTGACCACTAATTGTACGGTTGTCTGCACACGGAGTTGCACGGAGCATCTCCCAATCCTCCCGTGTGTGCATGCGATGACGCAACCCACAAACCTACCCGGAAAAGGCTCCGCCGGTAATAGACTGGAAATTAAAAAATTACCCAAATATAAAAGTGTAACTGAAGAAAAAGGAATAAAATGGAGGATACATTGGATAATATAACACAGGAATGAAATAATGGCGATCATGAAAGTGGAGGGAACACAAATAAACCTTCATACATTTCTTGCCACTATA